AAGATCTAGCTAGATCGTTTAAGGTTTTGATTTCTATAGTTTGTGTCACACATATATATACGGTCCTATAATGTATTGTTTATTTATTTATTGTTGTCTTAGCATATGTTTTCACTTGAACTGTGACTACTGTACCAAATACAATGCAAGACACGTCCATCCATGAGATTCAGTCAAGTAAGTGCTTAACTATAGTAAATTTAAGTTTAATGGACAATTGAATCCCTTTTTTTGTCAGAAAAAATTAAGAACTTATTTAAGGGCAACTCCACGATACGCATGGCGTATATTTTAACAAGATAAATTTATAAAAGTAAAGACAAACATCCTGATGCGGTATACCGAACAGATTGTAAGAATTGCGATGCATCATACATGGGCCAAACGAGCAGGTGCTAAAAAATTAAAATTAGCGAGCATAAAAATCATATAAATTGGAACATTTCACTCGGTGATTACCAAACACAGATTGCAAATATTACATGAATTTTACTGGGATAATATAAAAATTTTGGACAAAGGAAATATTTTAAATAAACTATTATCAGACTATTATCAGAAACAATATACATAAATAAAAATAGTTTGAATTTAAAAAATGACACAGAATTTTTAGATCCTTATATGTTTTTTTAATTTCAAAGACTTGACGCTTCCCACACTTAGACAAAAGTTATCGTTTAGAATTTATTTATTTATTATTGTCTTGGGCATATGTTCTCATTTGAACCAGTCATAGAATTGGTAACTTCGTTCTGTTTCAAAGTTTGTTTGTAACAGAGTGATTTTAAACGTAAATTAATTGTCTTAAAAATGAAATCCAGGGGATAGTCATTACTTAATAACATCTCGATAATAAAATTGATTCTTGCAATGGAATTTCAGATGACAAAAAAAGGTCCTGTCAATCATTCTAACGATAATTCCTCTCTTTTGCAAAATTGGATATGAAAACAAATAGTTAAGATATTCCCCGAAAAATGAGTTTATGAAACCAATCAAATTTTAGAAAGTTATTGTTAAAATTGTTGAAACATTAAGGAAAGACCGATCTCAATAATAAATTGAAATCTCGGATAAAATGAATTAAAAATATTAAGAATCTCATTAGTCATATTCGAAGGAACAGATAATATCGTCAACATATCTGACATAAAACGGAATTAAGAATTTCAAAGTTTCTAAAGCTCTAATCTCCAAATCCTGTAAAACTAAATCTGCAATCACTAGAGATAGAGGAGATAGGTAAATGATTTGTGGATGATACCAATGATTTGTTTGTATTATATAATATTATCATTAAATAAGAAAAAAGTTGAGTTTAAAACTAATTACAAATTCAAGCAATTACAAATTCATTTTTGAGAATATTACAACCTCTTAAAATATCCAACCATCTATTATAAATGCTGTTCAATATTAACTCAATTGGTACATTTATAAAGAGCGAAATCACATCCAAAGAGATTAAACAGTAATTTATATCGATATTTATGTCAGACTTACTTTATGTCAGATAACTTATCAATTATTTCAAAGCTGTCTTTCACTTGATTAGCAATTTTAGTTGTGTTATTGTGAATAAGGATATGAAGAAAAATAGCCAAAAAATATAATAGACTGTCAATATAGATAAGATAATGATTCTTAAAAGGTAAAATTGATATCCTTCATAAAATCTCGGCAAATTTCCATCCGAGCAATAAATCTTTTTATAAGCAATATAATTAATAATAAATTTCTGATTCAGCCACCTCGTAAGTAAAATATAAACATTACTAGCGAGAGTTTTTGTGGGATCTCTCACAAGATATAAGATTTGATGTTGAGAATGATTGACAGTCCTATAAACATCATTCAATTCCAATTTAATTTTAATATCAAAATGTGCTTCAAATCTTAAATTCATATATAAAATTTAGATATGGAATAATATTATGAGAGATATAAAATTTAAGGATTCTGACCTTATTTTTCATAATAATATTTTGTTGTTTAATCCATGATTTCATGAGCCTGACAGGAATAACATCAAACATCACATGAAATGATTTTTATAAAATTACAAAATAATAATTCAAACTTCCAGTCTGGCACCGATTATTTAAATCATGCTTATGTTGACATTCTTAATAAATTATAAACCTTAGGCATCCCACTAAATAAGAATGGATTAAAATGGATTGAAATTTTTTTCTATCTGAATGTGTATTTTAAATAGCGAATACTTTTTTTTGGATTTAATTAGACTCAATTGGATACAATTAGATTCAACTGGATGCAATTGGATTCAAAAACTACATTTTCTCAAAATTTTGAATTGAACAGTATTCACAATGTGTGTATGTTGTGCACAGAAAAAGCTAATATTATTTTTAGATTGAAAAGCATAGAGATATGCTTCCTGCAATTCCTATAAATGAATAAAAATGCAGGATTGAAAAGCATTCATTTTAACATTCGTGAATCAATATTTCTGAAAATCTGAATCCATTTCAATTTATTTCTATCCATTCTCGTTTGCTGGGATATGAGTTTATTACTCATCAATTTCTGTATTTCACATACTTATAAGCCTTAAACTTTCTTTTTTTGTTTATATTTGTATCTTTGTATTCTTGTTATTTATTTTTATATCATAACGACCTTGGCATTGTTAACAACTTTACGCGATTCAATGCTTCTTAGATTTCTTTTTAAAATCATCACTGGCATGGAACTACGTTGAAGAATTGAGCGAGGATTCGCCTGTTATGCAGGAGTATAATAGATTCAATCAATTTTTAACTATTTATATCCATTTTGAATGGATATTGTGACTGTAAATGTATCAAATGTGGCCGAAAAAATGTTCGAGTTTTTTAAGCAAGCTAAATATATTTATGTTTAATTTTTATAAATTATATGTTGAATTTGCATACCAAGACCGCGCTGTATTCTCATTTGCCCTACTTTTGCCCTAATACTTCGAATTTTGAGAGTTCTTATTAAGTTCCTTATTTAAAACTTTAATGTAACTTCCGCCTGCACGCTGAAAAAAATTGTTAAACATTTTGTTGATTGAAAATGACAAAATATCTTAAAAACTTAAGGTGGTAGGACATTTTCAAGGTCATATTCGTGATCAGCGCATTAAAATCTACTATAAACAACTTCATTTACTTTAAGGCCAAAATGATGTCAATTAGTGTTACATAGATTGAAACTAATAATATTGTAATAAATTATCAAATTTAATGTTATATAATATCCGAAATGCCATTTCTTGTTTTGTATTACACAATTATATAATACATAAATATCGCATAGGTATTTCAATTTGTTATATTGTTTTTTATAAATCAAACATAATAATAATAATAAATATTGTACATAAAAAAACAAATGTATATGTATAGATACAACTCAAGAACATAAACATTCTTTTGCGTATAAATAATATTTTATGTAATTATAATACAAAAATCAATTTTTGGAATATAAGATTATTAATTGATTGTGAAATAAAATTTCTCAATTTCTGTGTACTATAAATAAATAATTCGTTCTTGTAAAAGCTATATTTAATTTTTAATCTGCCAAAAAAGAATCTATCTCTACGATAAATTATTGCATATATCTCTAAATATATTTATTATTATACATGTGCAATTTGGTAAACATAAATATATGATAATAAAATTATGATAAGGTATAACCATAATATTATAATAAGGTATTATTGTAATTTTATTATCATTTTATGATTATAAAATTATGATGATAAAATTATAATAATTATAATATACGATAATAAAATTATAATAGTCATGAAAAATGAATGTGATAATAAACTATAAATAAGAATTAAAAATTGTTAAAGTAATATTAATTATATCTTAAATATATATCTTAAAATTTATACAAAAAAACAAAATACTGTATATCTTGTAATATGTATGTAGGCATTTATGACATAGGAAGGGAGAATTATTATTATTTAAAATATTATATATAAAGATATTTTAAAAATCACTTAAATTAATTCCAATGTTTAATCTGTTAATGTACATCTTATACATTAAGGGAGTCGTGCTCAGTCAAAAACTTAAAAAAAAATCGATTTATGGATTTTGACATTTTCTGTAAGTACAACATTTGGAAAATATTCTCTGAAAGTTTCAAATTAAACTGATTAAAATTAATGGAGTTATAGGCGTTCAAAGTATACTGTGCTCGATGTTAAGAATAGGTATAATGCGAGAGTTGGGTGCTGGACAAAAGCCTTTTCTAACTTTTGTGAATCATGTATTTTGGAGGCTATAATCTGTTCTAATAGGCCTGAAATAGACTTTTTGTAAGTATTAAGAAATGAATATTTTATTTAAGTGTATATCTCTTTCGAAACTTTAAACGCGTTTTTTTCAAAATCGCATTTTCAAAATCGGTGACCAAAATATTTCGAGAACTATTACGTCGATTTCTTTCAAACTTTGCAGATTTATTTTAAATATATAAAACTCGTTCTTAAACGAAGGATTTTTTATGCTATAGTTTTTTTTTATGAAAAATATATTTATATTGAGCAATATTTTTATTTAAAAAAAAATCGGAACTTTGACTCTTAATGTCCGCCATTTTATCCTAAATAAATATTTCGAAGAATTGTTCGTTCAAGGATAGACTAGATAATTTAATATATTAAACAAATCTTTTCGAATTTTTTATTTCTAATCCAGATCTGAGCAACAGTGATCAACGCAAAATGATTTTTTTAGACCTTCAAGAAAATGGCTGTATCTTTTTTATAAATATTTTTTAATAAAAAAATATATTCAATTCATAAAAATATACTCTTTTACATGTACAGATTTTTTTAAAGTTTTGTAATTTTTGCAAAAAATATTATCAAAAAGTCACACATTTTTTTTACTTCCTGACTGAGCATGACTTTTTAATATAAAACAGTTTGAATTATGTACATTATGTGATAATATATAATCCAAGTTATTTAATTATAATTAATAATATTTTTTCTTGTATTTGCGATATCTTTCTACTTCAGACTGTCTTCGTAATTGATTCATAAGCTCCATCGGAACGTACCATAACTTTTCGACATTGTTAAGCAGAGCTTCCGTTACTCGACAGCATATAGCAGCCATGTTAACCTGAGCGGTTAAATCGGTATGATCTTGAGGATGAACATATCGGGGTGGAAAAAGCGATGGTGCCACTATCATCGCCACGTTATGTATTGACATTTTATTCGATGTCTGATTTTCGATGACCAACTTCAGAAAATTTAACAATGCTTCTAAAGTACACCGATGCTCGACAGGTAGCAACAGCACCAATAAATTAAGAGAATATACCAAGTCATTAGGATTCTTGACACCTATAAAATGATTTTTTCGTATCCTTATAACATATATTTATATGTAAAGTATTATGTCACATATATAATTTACTAACCATGACTTTGATAAAAAGCATCAATCAATTCGATAGTAAAAAGAGGTTGCGGTAAATCTCGTAATAATTTTTTCAGAACGGCTGACAAATCGTGACACGGAGTATGTTTAAACAACTTATCCATCTCCTTTGGTTTACAATAAAAATCTGTTTCTAGTTCCGTACAAATTATTTCCACCTAAATAATTAGTTTTAAGCTTAACTTTAATAATATATAAATAATTAAGTGACATACAAACAAATAAACAATTACTTTAACCCTTTGTTGCAAAACTGTTTTAAGCATATTTTTTATGAATCTTCCCAGATAGCAAAATATCTGCAGTCTTCTAGCAATCAACAGATTCTAGCTGTCAACAGATTCGAGCAGAAAATGACAGCAGTCTACCATCAACTGCGTCTGCATTAGGCTTGTGTTCTGTTAACATCGCCTGTCATAATGTAAAGTCAAATTGTTGGCAAAAGCTGAGCAGATCCTGTCGACATTATCTGACCTTAGATTGTCAGCAAAAATGACGCAGAAATCCAGCAGATTCTGAAACAATCTGTTTACAATCAATTATCATTTATTAATTTCTGTCAACAATGTGCTGTCAAATCGTGTCAGAGCAGGCTCTATTCGTTTCTGCTGATAGTGCTAAGTGATATCGAGAGGATCTGCTTGGTTTCTAATAGACACTATACCACAAATCTGTTCTGTTTCTTTCTCCAGTCTGTCATTTACTTCTTGCAGATTCTATTACGGTTTTTCTAGCAGTCTGTCAATTATTATATCTAATTCTGTAACAAATCTATTGTTATTTCGTTGGTATAATGTGTAGCAGTTGTTAAAAAAAATCTGCTTTCTACAGACTTGGCTATCTGGGTTAATACATAAAAATTTTTGAGATCGTTGATTGTAAATTTAAAGAGTCGCAATTTAAAAAGTCAAAGTGGCAGATCTAGTATGACAAAATGAAAACATTAATTATAATTTAAACATGACTAAAATTTTATACTAAGCTTTTGATTTCAACCTACAGCAAATTTGAAAATCTGAAATGATAATTCCAATTTAGAAGAAGCTCTTGCTACTTTTTAACGAAAAAGTTTCACTTTTGGCACACAACCACAACTAATCACAAAAATGTAAAAAAAGTCTTAAGGCTCCTGAATAGGCTGTGTTCTAAATTTACTGCCAGCGCTGAAAATCTACAGTTTGCGTTATATATTTTCAGCACTGGCAATGAATTTTGGAACACAACTATAGTCGTGGTTGGAATTGTGACGTCATAGGCGAGAAATATACGTTAATTTATGCTGCATGCCATTTGTAAAATTTTTATTTGTAAATAAAGACAATTTGAAAATCTAAATGACAAGATCGCTTTAAAACATTTATAAAAATAGGCAAAAACTACCTTTTCCTCCCTTGATAGTCAGTAAAAGGTAGGTAAAGTGAGCAGTAACAAGAGAGGTAAATTCGGGCAGAAACACACAGTTTAACAGCTGTTGGAACAAGTAAAATATACATATAAAATTCCAGGATTACTTATAGTTGCTATTTTTAGAACTTTCATAACGAGACAAATCACATTTTTACAATTAAACAAATAATAACGAAATGACATGCAGCACAAATTTCGTCGTCAAAATATCACTTTTCCACACCTATAAGTTCAGCCATTTATCGTGGCGAAGCGCTATAACACACATGCCCATGTACATGTGCTCGCTTTCGGCGCGCCGAGAGCACATGTACATGGGCTCGAGCAGCTTATGTTTGTGGCTATCGGTTTTGTCATATTTCGCCAAGCCGCCATCTGATTCTGTGTCGCTGGCTGAGTATTCAGGAGCCTTAAATATAAATATACAACAAATATAATAATTTAGTTAACAATAAATAAAAATGAATTTTCAAAATTTTTATTTATTCTAAACCCACATTGAAACCCACATTTACTATTTTAAATTTCTAAATTTTGAATGCAGATTTAAAATTAGCGATTTCAAAAATATTAGCGCAAAAATTTTCATTTATTATTAAACTAATATATATATACATATTCTTATTTAAATGAATTTATTTAAAAAATATTATATGATTGCGAACCCATTACTGTCTTTACAGACTTTCAATGCAATTCATCTGAAACATTAATTATAATCTCCCCAAATTTAATCTTCAAAAACTGTAACAAATATGTTGTGAAAAATATTATCTTGGCCGGGAATCGAGTTCGGATTTCTAGCATATGAGTCCTAATCCTTTAGATTACCGAGACCTTAGCAATATTTCTCGCAATAAAAGCAATATGTACATTGCTAGAGATCCGGGTTCGATTCTCGGCCGAGATAATATTTTTCGCAATAAATTTATTATAGTTTGTAAGATTAAATTTAGGGGAATTATTAATATTTTAGATGGATTGCGTTGAAAGTCCAACAATAAACGGCATGATAATCATATTTCTAAAATTCATTTAAATAAGAATATATACATGTATTAAATCAATATTTAACTTTGACTGTCAAATGGTGCTTCTCATATTTAGGTCACGTACTCACATAAAACGATTCTAATTCGAATCTTATTAATGTTCACACATATATATATATATATATATATATATATATATGTATACATCTCAGAAATCTAGTATCAAATGTAATCAAAACAAACGAATTATAAAATACATAAAATACTCAGAAAAACTGCAAAAATATAGGTCCCATGGGACCTCTGCAGTAAAGAATTAATCAATAATTATACTTACTTTTTGCTTATGACCTCCAACACGAAGTATACCTTCTTCTTTTACTCCACGTTTTGTTAATTCATTAAGGATTTTTTGAAAAACTAGTGGTATGTTATTTTCTTCACTTGTTAATTGACTATCCCTGAGTAATAATGTCGATAAAGAAACGCCAAACAAATTTCCAGCTACAAATACGTATACGTACATCACAAAAAATCATAAGAAATTGCATACGAATATAATTATTTTATGTACCTTTCCTTCGTCGCTTATTGGGTTTTCGTCTCGAAAGCGGTATATTATATTTATCAAAAATCGCCGTTAGCTCGAGCCATAAAAGAGGCTGTAATCTCATAAAATCTCGTTGCGATAACAATTCTATATCTTGCCGAGCATAATCGTCATTGGTAATAAGATTGTCAGCAGACCACATTTGAGATTTCGCTTCGTTAGTTTTGCACATCTCCTCGAAACTAAGATGACCGTGTGACGATGTACGACTTAATGAACGAGCTATTAAATTTCCATCCGCTGGTCTAGTTAAGCCATATAAACTGCTATGACTTCGTGTTACTGTCACATGATTTCCTGAACTCCGTCTTAAATATAAGATGACAATTAGAAAAAATATTTGATAATTATTTACATTAGGGAATCCTCTCTAATGACCTTGACCTTGACATATGTTGTCAAAGTCCCTGAGTGCCTTCCAATTTTAGTCGTCACTCGTTATTCGATAAAAAGTTATTACAAAAAGAATGAAAATGATGTCTCATTTCTACTATATAAAACAGAAATTTTTCGCTTTAAAATATACTTTGCACACAAAGCGAATTTCACCCTACTTCCCCTCCGACCAAGGAGCATCTGACTTTCTACGTAAAGAGAGGTCCACCCTATTCTACGAGAGGCGGCACTGCTCCCAAGAAATATAACCTAACCTAACTCAACTCATATTTTAGTTTTCGGTAGCCATTGGCCATCGCTTTGCATAGGGTGGATCTCCCTTCACGTACACTCTAGGCAAAAGGAAAATAGAATAGATCTCGCTTCGCATAGAAATGCGTATTCCCTTAATCGGTTCACCCATACCTTTCTCCCAGCCTAGAGAGTTATGTGACTTTTCAAAACAAAGAAATAATTACTTTGACTGTTAATAATCTTTTAACGAATAACGAGCGACGGCTAAAACTTGTTGATAATTACTCAAAATCATGACCTTGATAACATATATCAAGATCAAGGTCATTGGTGGGAGTCCTCTAATGTAAATAATTATCAAATATTTCAATAAAACAATTAAAAACAATTATTCAATTTTCTTAAAAATACCGAAGAGTTGATTCCTTTGAGCCAGCCAATTTTCTAACTGATTCAGTATCTAAATTTGCTACATCATTAAGACCACAATTGTTATTTCTCTGAAGTGGCCTGGCAATGTGTATTGTTCCCAATCTGTGGTAGCCGGTCAACTGAATTCCTTCTGTGTGATAATATGTAATATCTTAGTTTTTCGTATCGTATATCGTAGTTTTAAAGTAAAACTACTAATAATCTAGAAATTATTACATATAAATGCAAAGGCAGTAATACCAGAATCATTTGCGACATCCCCTCTCGACCAATTTCCGGCCCTTCTAAAAATTTCTTGCACGGGCACAGAAGCGGGCACAAAATTGACAACTGTTTGGGGAACATTTAATGTTCTACGAACTGTTGTTTTTCTTTCATTTGACGTACGGTGGAATGTAGAAACAAAACTTGAAATATCAGCGTTTTAATAATCAGAAATAAATTTCATCACAAAATAACATGTATGTTAATTACAATAAAATAAACTTACTTTTGATGCGCATCTTCGATCACATTGACTATTGGAGGTGAAGGAGGTGATGCATTTTCTGATGTAGCGTCTCGAATTGAATCTAAAGAATCAGGTGTGGCACTACGTGATCGTGTACCTGTGCTAGAAACCTATAAATAAATATATTTACAATTTATATAAAATATATCTTATTTATCGCAAGCACGCACGCACGCATACGCACGTACGTACGCACACAGAAGTATATAAAAAATATATTATGCGTAATAGTGTGTGAGCGGTATATGAGAGGAATTTTATTAAAACACTACCTACCAAGCACCAATACTAATTCAGAAATCTGATTTTGGTCATATTTTCTGAAAGCCTAATTCGGTCTTCTAATCTCTATTTTTCATGCTTTTTAATTACAATTTTAAGAATTTGTTGATAATAAATTATGATACAAATTTAGATCAATTAAAATAAATGTAATTAAATACAAAAAGTGTTATATCAAAGAAAAATCTTAATGCTTAAATATTTCTTGTACAAATTTATACTATTTGATATATACTATCTGATTCTGCATATTTATATATTGCCAAATCTTTTTCGGTCTTGAAACGGTCATCAAACATGATCAGAATCAAAGTAGTAACATTACTTATTAAATTGAAGTAATTTAATAATTCTTGATGCTAATAAACATCTAACAAGTAAAATAAATTAAGTTTTTTCGCTAATCTTTATTGTCATTTTTTAATTATTTATATATATTCCCACACATCTCTGGATTTTTTGTACTTAAAATTACTTTTAAGTACAAAATTTTTTGTACTTAAAACTTTTATTCGAGCTAATATTAGAATTTCTATAACGTTCTATTTTTTTTTAATAACTTAAAAAGGCAAAGAAACGAGTTTTTTTAAATCCAATTTTTTTCAAAAACTTGACGTGTTGAAGAATTTTCAATCACGCATTACAATTTGTAATATATGAGAAAAAATTTATCAATCACCTACTATTGTACATATTGCGATGTGAAAATTTTTGTTCGTTACTATCGCGAGTCATCTGCGAGGGATGTTGCGTCCTCCCGGCTCACGTGCGACTGCACATGCGAGCGTGCACTAATCATTCGCTTAATTAATTTATTTGTTGACAAATTATTTTTTTAGTCTTGCATTTAGATCTAGTGTAAAGTACTTGAGGCAAGTTTGGGAATATTAGAGTGAATCAATGATACAGATTTTCCTTAATTAATAATGACGAAAGAAAAAGATATATTTCTGTGATTCTTGAAACAGAGAGAGAATTTTTAATTTAAGATTACAAAAATTGAAGAGAAAGTGAAAAAGATTGATCAATTACAGAAACGTAAAAAAATCAATTACAAATATAGGTGCTGCCATAAAGTAACGAGATTATCAACCGGGCATTTTAAAAAGGAAGAACTATTTTCAATAAGTATCATCAACGGACTGTGTTCAATGACTGTGTTCAATGAATTATTGTTTTTGTAATCTTGTCTCACCTACTAACGGGAAAAAAAAGACTACTCAGAGAAGGTATGATAATAGGCTGGGAGCTGCTTCAGCCGGGAGCCCGAACATGCAAATTGTATGATTTCATACATTTCTTGTAACATTCTAAGCTTTGCTGTATCGCACGCAAATTATAGGAAAAACTATGGAAGGAGGAAGCTTCATGCTATGGAGGTGACTGAGGATATTATGTCGGAGATAAAAACACTCCGACACTTCTTCGGATTCTCCAAGCCAGCCCAAGGATTGCGGGCGATATTGGAGGATATCTTCAAATTATATTGCGCGCTAAAGCGCAAGAATTTGTGGCCCACGAGGATGATTCGCGGGATCGCGTAACTGATAAAGGTTAATCAGCATAATTAGAGGAGGATCGAACGGCCTGCGTGAATCCATGGAAAACTCTCAGCCGGCACTCGTACCGTGGCCGAGCCAAAACTATGACAGGATACATAATCTCCCAGGATTAATCGAGAGCAAAACCTAGGATTGTCGTTTCAAGGATACCGGGGGATACGAAGAGTATTGAATGAAACGAGTATTATGTAAATGCCGATTGCGAGATTCCTGACATCGGGTGGATCGCACGTTAAGACTCTCGAGAAGTTTCTAGCGGCCGATTTAATGGCTGCCTGAGTTAGCGAATTATGGACCATGTGCCATCCACCTGAATCCGCCATCCGCCCTTTTTTTTCAAGGAAATACTGCTTGCCGACAGAGCCTTTGCCACAATCGCTTCATATTATTTTATTTGTATATTGGTCAGTCGAGACTTTCATTGATTGCGAAATCAGAATAACTGTAAAATCCGGACTAGATCTGCCCGATTCGCGTCGACGTAATCTATTCTGATAACTTTTTTTTTGTCAGTGTGTGACTCTTTATCGACGATAAACTTCATTCTGATGTAAAATATTCACCTTTCTTGTGTGATCTTTCGGAGAGCTGAGATTTATTGAGATCTAAAGCGGTTGCCTTATCGGCAATTAATGTCGACTCTATCGTTGTTTTATCGCAAATGCCATGCATATAAAATCAGGCTTAACATATGAAAGTCAATTGTAATTCAACGTCTCAAAATACACTTGTTATCTATTTTTGTTAATTTCTGTGTTATTCTTGCAGCCTATCTCTCTCGTCCTTCGACAATTTTTCAGATTTGTACCCATCCTTGTTGCCGTTGCGAATTACGCATAAATATCAAAAAATAAGCAAAAAATTAACGAAAGAATGGCACGCTCTCTCATGCCTGATGCTCAACTTGTTTTGAGAAAAAGCTCTGAGGTTTTACGAAAAGTCTGTGTAGTTATCGAAATCTTTTGCAAAGAAGTTCATTTATGTGAAAAATATAGAGCGACGAAATTGTGCCGTCATTCGTGAGTACGGTCAATATAATATAAAACAAAAAACAATAAAAAGATGTGAAAGGCACATAAGAGTTAGTAAATCACTTGAAAGTGTATAAAAGATCTACATATATATTAATTATATAAAACAAGAATTCTAAAAATTGGGCATTACATGTTTTGGTTTCTTCATTGAGTCATCTTCAGATGCTTGATACAGATGTGCAGTCAACATATTACTTAAAATTAGATTTAACTTGATGATGCGAACAATGTTGTAACGTTATCGGCAATGAACGGATGAACATTCCACAAAGAACGGAGAAGATTGCTCGCATACGGTTAACAGGCCGAATGTTTGAACTTTCTCGTTGTTCCGATCGCCGATCGCCAACTTCATATCGCATATTAATAATTCCGTCAGAAAGTTAAAACATCGATGATGATGTGAGATAATGAATTCCAGTCAGAAAATAAAAAAAATGTATATATTCTGTAAAAATGTATTTATAAGAATAAAACTAAATATGTGTCAAGAAATGAAAGATGAGCAGCGCGCTCATCTACACCAACGTATGTGTATATTACATCGAAGTACAAGCTCATTTTTGCTCATTGTACTTATAATAAGAGTACAGCCAGTAGGGTATCAGTGATTGGTCTGCCAAATTGAGGCAAACACGGAAGTCGTATACTCATGCTATCAGTACACATATAGTGTACACCATTTACATTATTTATAGCAATTTTTCTGTGTGTCAGAAGCAAATACATAGAGAATGAACTACTCGATCGTATCTAAGTAATATGATCGACAAAAATGAGAAAGAAGAACCATGGAAGACGGCCAATCTCCTTATTCTCTCTTTATATCGTTATATCGTTGAGTGGAAAAAGATTGACCATCTTCTATTGATTGACGCCTCTCTCTCTCTCATTTTACACCATATCACAGGCAGAAGACGCTAAATATTTAGAAATATATCTGGATCGCAGGCTAACTGGAAAAAATATGGATGAAATGAAGACAACTGGATTAAAAAACTCAGCAAACTATATTGGCTGATGGGCAGGAACTCACAACTAACATTGGACAATAAACTATTAATTTATAAAACTATAATTAAACTTAAATCAGTATGGACTTATGGAATTCAACTCTGGAGGTCGAGCAGCAAGCACTTTAATCGAAATGTTTCAGCGTTTTTAATCCAAGATTTTAAGAATTAAAATAATAATATAAATTAAGATTCAAATAATAAAAAATTTTTTTAATAAAGTTTCGAATTGCAATAAGATGGTAGTTGTTAACAATTAAAAATTATTAAAATCTAATATTATATATGTAAAATATTCAACAAAACAAACAATTCAACCCTTATCGGGTCGTCTTCAGTGTCGTACAATATTAATCCAATCGCAATTTAATTCCACAAAACCTTCAATTCTCAAAGTATCCATACCATATTAATTTTTCCAATAATTACAGATCTCTTGACAAATAAAAAAAGTGCCTCATTGCAACTGTATAAGTCATTAAATTGTCATATCGACTTACACAGATCGATAAACGTTGATTGTTCAAAAATTTAGATCATATATGAGAATCAACGTTTATCGACTTGTGTAAGTCGATATGGCAACTTAATGACTTATACAATTGCAATAAGGCACTTTTTGATTTGTTATCATACTATCTGTAATTATTGGAAAAATTAACATAGTGTGGATACTTTGAGGATTGAAAGTTTTTGTTAAATTATGGATTAATATTGTACGATATTGAAGATGACCCAATAAGGGTTAAAACATTTGTATTTTTAAATGTATTAGATTTTAATGATTTTTAAATATAATTGTTAACAACTATCATCTTGTTGCGACTCGTAGTCTTTTGTTAAAAAAAATATTTTAAGTATTGTTACCAATGCTCCATGGTACGTTACTAACAAAGTGTTTCACAGAGCTCTCCACATGTAAGAGAAGAAACACATAACTTTAATAAAAAATATCATTCAAAACTAGACACTCATCCCAATAAACTAATAAAGAATCTCCTCTAAAAAGTGAACAGATGAAGTGAAAAGACTAAAAAGATGCAAACCTATAGACCTTATCATTTGTTTTAAATGCTATGCATTTAACAAATAATTAAGATAAAAGCGAAAGAAAGGCAGCCATTGAGACAGCCTCCTTTCTCCTAATCAAGTCAAAAAATTACTTATTATTATTACTTATTATCTTAGAATAGATTGTAAATAAAGCATAAGACAGGAAAAAAAAAGAAATTCGGGTCCGACTGAAATCTCCATAATTTCTTCTGTCAATCTTTAATTTTTTATAATAAATCAACAAAAACTTTATATGACCATATATTCAAAACAGCTTATTATTTCAAAGATACATCCAAGTTGTCGGAAAAATTTTGTTTCTCCAAAAATTTCGAAAACATATAATATTTTGGTAAATATCTGCGTATATTTCAAAGATCAAAATAACTCAAGTAATTTTCGATTTTTAGAAAAAAATATTTTTCCTTTAACTTGGACAGTTTGTATCTTTCTCTAGAACTATAGATCATATGATTATATGAAATTTTTATCTTGATTTAGCATAAGGAGTCACTCCTTAAAATCTTAGAATATTTAACTATCCATATATATATATATAATATTTCCCAACTAACTTGCTTTATATTTATATAATCAATTAAAGGTATTTTAATTTTTTAATATTCATTAATTTGTCGATATACCTCTACATCTTTAAAGACATCTCTAATATCTGGTTTGCGAACACGTTGGCGTTGATTAAAACATTGTTTAACTGTATGATTAAGCGATCTCACGCGACGTTTCACAGTTTCTGCTTGAGCTCGTGACAGAGGACGCAAAACTGCTCCTAATTCCTCAGGTTGAATTTCCCTGCCTGCCTTCCACGCCTCTGTTAATTGTCCTAAACCAGCTGCATGTAACCATTCAGCTTCTTCTTCTCCTTCTATTAAAAAAATCCAAAAATATTCATTCTATAAATTTAAAATGTATAATGTTATGTTGCAGCATAATAACTTTTTATATTTTTAAGTTTTTTTCATACTTTTTATATTGTACTTAGTTTTGTTTTAAATTCTTAAAGGAACGAATAAAATCATCGATTTTGTTCAGGTCCAACCAGTATGTGAAAAATGTTTTTTATAGTTTTCGAATTGCACAGAATCACATGGAGTAATCAGTTTCCATAAACATGAAGAGAACATATGTAAAAATGTGAATAAAGTGAATAAAATTTTTTCCATAAAAGAGATGCACAATGATCGTTTTTTATTCTAACTGTTAACTCTCAAAAACTATTAAATGTATGTATATTTTGTTATAATAAAATTAAAATAAAAATGGAAACAAATATTCGAAACCCAGGGTTGATAAAAATTTTTAAAAAACGTTTTTTTGTTGATGTTCTTAATATTTTAAACATGTTTTAAACAATATTTAAAAAAAACATGCAATGTTTCCATCAATCAACCCTTTTGATG